AAAGTTCACTTATAGCAAACTTCCCGTTGTAACGTACCATATTATCAAAGGTCCCAGTTAAATTTCCGATATAACGTACGGATTTTGAAAGTCCCCCAATCGAGTACGTTGTAGCTCGAGTAAGTTCTGCTATAGACTTCATTTTCGTTAAAAGCTTTCGGTAGATACGCTACATGTATCCAACTAAGTGTCGGTTTCCCATTTCATTTTCATTGCGATAAGAGAAACGCCTAATAGTCGGTTTCTACATCAAGTAATAATTATTTGACAGGAAAATTAATAGAAGTAGCTGTAGAAGGCATTAATGCGTCACTTTCTTGGCGTTTTATGTCGTAGTTTTGCCTCAAAGTATGAGTCTTCTTCTACAGTAAGCTGCAGCAACACGCCATAAACGAAGAAGGCGATGGATAGAAGAAACATAAATTTAAAAAACATGACTGATGGGATGACGATAGTTATATTAAAGCCGATGTAATCATTTAACCAGAATCTTTAATTAAAAATAATCAATTTTGTCGTATTCCACATGGAAGTAAACAATTGGAAACAAATGGGTGGGTCTAAATGTATATATTCAAACGTATAAGTGGTTGCATATTAAAATTAATAATTGACTGCTGGCCACCGACTAAATTTGAATGGGCTCAACCAGTACACATAATAATGTACCTATACATGTACATATACGATGATTAAAGCAGAAAATAATTAAAATTATAGCCTGGCCTACTATATAATTACAAGAAAGATCGTAAAAAAAAAATAACTACACCATTATAAAACCCATAAACTATTCTATTCCGTTGTTTGTTACGTTTAACAACAATAAAACTGTAATCGCTTGTGTTTATTTAAAAATCGAAAGAAGAAAAAAGCAGGTGAAAATAAGGTGTTGCAGTAGGCGCTTTATAGCCGGATACACTATTCCATACCGACCCCGCTTTTTTTGTACATGTCTTTTGGTAGTTATACAAGATATTACATATCACTTGTGTTATTAAGTATTCATTATCTTGTCAATCTGCAGTCGTTAATGCGAAACGACAAGCCTGTGTTAATGAACGTGTTAATTGATAAATAATTAAAACAAACATACGAAAAACTGGGTCGCCTGAGCGTTTCTGATTTATATTACCGACCAGATATATTGATACTAATTTTGACGGAAACGTAATAGGCTTATGTTTATCCCTTCAGAATTTCTCAAAACTTTACCAAGTTTAATTAGGTTCTAATTAATAAAATAATAAAAAATTGTAAAATAATTTCTAAACACAACCTAAACCTAGTCGGGCTTTCTTTACAAGATCAATTTAAACTTCACATTCTTCAATTACCATTTTATCTGCCCCTTATTGTCATTTTACTGGTCCCACCCTAATTGTCACATACTAGGGCTGTTCAATAAGTACCAGTGTTAGAAATGAAGACACCTTTTCTTTAAAGTTTTTTTTTATTTTTCAACATAGTCCCCTTTTAGAAAGATACACTTCTCCCAACGACCCTGCCATTTTTTTTACCCCTCCAAAAAATAATATTTGTCGAACTCTCCAAAATCCCCCCTGTCTCGGCGATGACTTCCTCGTTTGAGCTAAATTTCTTTCTCGCTAGTCATTTCTTCATGGCAGGGAACAAGATGAAGTCACAGGGAGTCTAATCGGGGTGTGCGGCAGCAAATTCATAACGTAATTTATGCATTTTGGCGGCAACAACTCCTAATGAATGTGCCGGTGCGTTATCGTGTTGAAA